TTCTCTTAATGAATAGAGGGATTTGTTCTAATAGTTTTTGTAAATAGGATATCATGTCTGCATCTTGTACAGCAATTAACCACCAGGAAGAATGTATGCAATGTGTTAATTATTGAAACTGTCCTACCAATTTGGTTTAAACTGTCTCATTGCTATTTGTTTCTCAATAAAATTATGGGAAAAAAATTATTGAAGTAAGACAGAACTAACTAATATTTCCTTCACTGCAGGTAACTGTACTCAACTAAAACAATCTTTGTTTATTAGCATTAGGATCAAGTTGAAATTAGAAAATAAAATTATAACCAGGACAAATCTTATGTAAATTTTTTAAAATGCTTAGTGAAAAGGTGCTCTATACCATGCCTGGGTAATTAACAGCCAAGGAGTCATTTTACAGTTTCTGAACTGTGAATCGCTGACCTGGCGCTGTGACTTGGATTTTCCTTCCACCCTCCAAAGTGTCCAGTTGAGTAGAGAAAAGGAGTTAATAATGGCATCAAATCAGAAGTCATGCTTTGGTGTCTCATCAGGGGTCAGACAGTCCAATTCTGACATCGTAAGTAAAACAGGGTGAAGAATGCACTCCTCAAAGAGAAGACACAGTTCACCAAAGGAGAAAGAAGACTTCCTGCCATTCAACAGCTTGGTGTGTCACCAGGAATTCAAGGCATTGATGTGCAAGCAGGGGGGAAAGCACATGCCTGTAATCTCAGCACTATAGGTGCCTGAGGCAGGCAGATCATAATTCAAGCCCAACTGGGCAACTTGTTGATGTAGCAAGGACCTATTGTTGTTGGGTTTTTTTAGACAAAGGGGGGCAGCCAAATAGCTCAGTGGATTAAAGCTTCTGCAAGCAGGCTCAGGGACTGAGGTTTGATCCCCAGCCTGCAGTGCCGGCCCTGCCCCTGGGGCGTGCTAAGAGGTCAATTGAGACTGGGCAAGGTGGTGCGCCTGTAATCCCAGCTCTTGGAAGGCTGTAAACAGGCAGATCACTATGAGTCTGATCTAGTAGTGAGACCCTGAACACCCTGTAGACCCTTCTCCAAAAATAATACAAAAAGTTATTTATCAAGTA